CGCCGCTTCTGTCCACATCACCCCGGCACCCGTCACGAGCGGGGCCAGGTCTCAGCTGGGGGGTTGAGGAGGACCTTTGCGCTCTCTGCTTGAACCTCACTTTGCCTTGCTGGCTGCTCGAGGGGGGGTCCTTCCCCTCCTGGGACAGCCCTAATAGCCCAAAGAGGGGGCAGCCCTCGAGCATCACCGGAGGAGGGTTGAAACCCCCATTTCCCCACGGTGAGGTCCTTCCCTGTGCTAAAGAAAGGGATTTTGCACCCCAAATTCACCCTCCGGGGGAAGAGGGAAGGGCTCTGGTGTCCCCACTGAGCCTTCGAGCTGGACACCCCCTTGCACTCCTCTCTGGGCATCCCACAACGACGCCACTAAAAACCATCCGGTCCCAGGAGCCGAGGGAGGGGGAAGAAAAATAAAAACACCCAAAAAAGAGAGGTATAAAAGAAAGCAAGCGGCACACCGCAGAGCCGAGTGCGTTAGTCGTCAGCGAGCAGGGGAGGGGGGAGCCAGGCAGGGCCAGGGCCGGGGAGGGGGACGCGTACCTTCAGCTTGGACTGAATCTCACGAGATTTCCGTCGGGCAAGAACCTGCAAGTGGCTAGAGACCTGCAGAGAGAGAGCAGAAGGAGAGGGGGAACAGCAGAGCCGTCAACCAGAGGAAAGGAAGAGGAAGGAGAGGGGCTGCCCATGCTCACAGAGACACCGCCGCGGACACCTGGGCAAGGGCGCCAACGTACCTTGATGCCAACCTGGTACTCCCGCACCTTCTTCCGAGCTAGAACCTGTATGTGGCTGGACACCTAGCGCCCGCCACGCCGTTCGGAAAGGAAAACACAGAGAGCGTGAAGATACGTTCCCCCTTCGTAGGGTGGGATGTTGTTCCCCCCGGGGAAGGGAGGGCGGAAAAAGAGGGGGAACGCACTGGGACGGGGGGGTCTGCCAAGGTGATGCTGCCGGAGATGCTGAGGGTCCTGCGCCCGCTGTGAGCTGGAGGGAGGAAAATTGGGAGGGGGGGATGGGGGGGAGCCCGGCGCTGCGCTGATTGATGCTGGTTTGTGCCCCCCCACCCCCAGCCCCGCGTTGGGGTGTGGGTCTGTGTTTACTGTCTCTTGGGGCTTCCTGGACAGACAGACAGACCCCCCCCGGCCCCTACGAGCGCAGTGAGCTGCTGTTTGCACACAGGACATGGCCGGGCAGGTTTGGGGTGCCCCTGGGTTACCCCAAGTGGGGCTGCAGTGGGACCGCTGGTCCCGAGGGAGATGCAGGAGGGACCGGCTCTCATTCCCCCGGGGCTCCTGCTGGTATTGCAGGTGGGAAAGGGGAGAAGAGGGGGTCTTTTTTTGTGTGTGTCCAGACCCCTCTAAGAGCAGGATCCAAAGAAAAGGGGCGGCTGTAGAGGCAGGAAAGGCGCAGTGTGGTTGGGGTGCCTGCCCCGAGCCCCACGCAGGGTGGGGGTCCCTGCACCCACCGGGCACCGGGGCTGATTTCGCCGAGATCCTTCTCCCACCAGCGCCAGGCTGTCCGAGAAGAGACCACAGGCTGTTCAGGACATGACCGCACAGAGGGGACAATGCCACATTCCCCTGTGCCTTTCCTGAGTGTCCCCGGAGCATCACTTTTGCCCAGTGCCACATCCTTCCCCCCCATGCCGGGGGGGCGCGCAGGGGGTCCAGTTAAGGCTTTAAGCCAGAAATAAAGTGCCGCTCAGCGCCGGTCTGAACACAGGGACCGTGGTTGGACCCTGGTCCCTCTCCCTCCAGCATCAGTCCTGGAGGGATCTGTCCCCCCCAGTTCTGGGGACCAGTGTCCCTCCCTTGCGGGGACCCATAGCACTGGACAGTCCCAACGTAAGTGCCCCACACCCCAAATGCATCCGTCCCCCTGCGGTGGGAGATGCACCCTCTCCCCAGCATCCTGGGCCACCAGCTCTGTGGCACGGCTCCCGGCTGGGGGCCACCACGGAGGGGAGGGAAGAGCCACCGGACGCGTGACAAACACACATATCTCATCGAGGATGGTGGCAGTCCGGTCCTTGGCCAGGTTTGGTGTCCGGCACGAGGGTACCACGAGGGCTCGCAGCTGGGATGGATGCCACCCTGCCCACACGCTGTGCGGGCAAAGGAGGACCACTGCGTGCTGTGTGCCCTGCCGGCACCGCTGCCTGCGCCGCCCGCTCCAGCATCCACCCTCGCAGGGCAGCGCGATCGCGACGAGGGCTCTGCGGGACCTT